TTGGTATTTTCAAAATATCAATGCATCAAAATGGCAAAAATGGAGGAAAGACCAATAAATGCCAGCGCATCGACAGATCGGTGCCTAGCTGTTAAGCATAAAAGCAGCATTATGAACTTTCCAGGTAGGAACAAGTCGTTTCAAGCAGGCGAATCAAACATTACATGGAACCTCTTGGCAATGTGACGTCTTTTAAAGTGAAAGCATTCGTTACTCCCCTCGGTAAGCTCGCTTTTCACCATACCTTAACTAAACTAAGACTCATAGATCAAATCTCGTCATAGAGACAAGGTTTAGAAGGATATCATCGACATTTTTTGTGCCAAATGGTATAAATTTTAATTCCATGGCACTACTTGCACTACCAACTACACTTGTTCTATTCATATTTCAATTTTCTCACCACCAAGTTCATGCATAAAGTTGACAACAGCCCACCTGAGCATCCAGCTCACTCTCCGCAACGGCCAGTCTGGCTTTCTTAGGGGCCACCACTTTGGAGACAATATCGTACTTGTCCAAAGCGATAATCCACTTGCAGAGGCCCTCGCATGCAGTGCTGGCATTGCGCACAATTTTAGGGTTGAAGTCTCTGTTGGGGATGTAGACCTCACGGATGCGTTTAATCACTTGAGGCGGTATGTTGTCGATGTTATAGGTCTTCAACTTCTCCAGGAATTTAAGATCACCTAGGAGTTTCAGAGAAACGCCCCAGTAGTCCTCTATCATCTTGCCCGTTGCTGGATCTGGCTTGCGCTCTGGTTTCTCTTGCATCATTATGCACACTGCTTCCATCACCAGCTTAACCACTGACGGCGGGTTCTTCATTGACTTCACCAATGTTATGTCCTAAAATAAAAATGCAATGTCAGAACTCCGTGTTGGGCGCTTGCAATTCTGAATGCAGCGCTTAAATCAATAGGCACCAGAGCTACCACAGTGAAGTCAAAGCCAGACTCCTAGTTAAATTTGTGCACTTCGATTTCTACGATGCTAATCATCACACTCTCGTGCATGACATCCTCGCGACAAATTTGGTGTCTCAGGGTGGTAATTGGATTGCACTAACTTCCCGATCGCCTTCATTATACTTACATTCTGTTTCAGTG